CCGAGCTGTGAGGGAGGGGTGGTGAGCACGTGCGCGCCGCCCTCCTCCCCCCGCGCTGGAGGACGCGGGCGCTTGGGCTGGGACAGCCCTCCGCTTGCACCTGGGCTGACTGCCTGCTCCTCCCCCTCAGCGGGTGTGCGGGAGAAGGGAGAAACTGAAGGAGTTACCGGGGAGGTGCAGGGACGGAATACAAGAACCTGTCTGTGGTGACTGTCTAATGGTTTAAGCTGAGCTCCACAAGAGACTCGTGATACCTGGTGGGTTCTTTGCTGTGGGTAACAGAGCATTGTTTATTTTTGTATGCGTGACGTATTTTTCTTATTTATGTGGTACGTATGTAACAAAGAAATTGCATCTTTATGGGAATACTGAGATAGTTACAAAGTGTGTAACTATATCAGCGCTCTAACGTTAAAAAGTTGTCCGTGAGGAACAGTAAGATCGAGGCTCCATTGTTCTAATCTTGCAACACGGTTTCAGAGAGCACAGCACTGTCTGAAACCTATACAGAGGAGCCTTCTTCCTCTGAGTATGCATGAACAGGTAGGAAATAAAAACTGGTTGAATAATAGCACATACAGAGGTACACCAGTGCAGTGGTGGTATGCGTATAATGGAGTTAGGCATCTGAAAATTAAATAAAGGTGGTCTCTGACTCTTAAGCTGCAATTTTATTGTTTTAGGTCACTAGAGGGATGGAGAACACCGTGTCTGAACTTCAAGGTAAACCCAGAACTCGCCTTATGGTCAAAAGGGCTGCTTTGGAAGAAATAGGAAATAAAGTTGCAACAAGAGGAACACACATAGCTAAGGTAAGGGAACATTTGAAATCTATCAGTAAGGAAAAGATGGATAACTAGCTCTGTACTAATAGTAATTGTTTTCACTACAGAAAACAGAATGCTCCAAAGCGTCCATAAAGCCTACAAAAGGACCTACGAAAATTACAAATGTACTGCCTAAACCTCCAGCTGCTGTGAATCGAGCACTCAAAGAAACTAGTGTTCCAAAGGTAATGATACTATTCTGGTTCTTAATTTCATTTGTAATTTAGAGCTCTAACTTCAGAATAGTTTGTCTGTAGCTGAATCTCATCTCCCTGCTGCAAAAGCAAAGCCTTTGTACAGAGTTTTTGGTTTAATGCATGTTGTACTTAAAGGCTAACATTAAAGTGTCAGAACTAGCTGTTGAAGTACTGGATGAAGTTTCTGCTTTAGCTGTCAGTTACTAGAAGGTCTTCTGATTCTGTCTGTACAGCATCTTGGTGAAAACTTGCTATCACCGAATGTAAGCTCAGTTTTAACTTCCTTTGTCTTAAGAAGTTGTATTAGTAACTGGAAAAATGTGGAAATAAAGGAACATTGCATCTTAAGTAGTAGATATGCAAGCACTGTAATCTGTTCTTTAGGTTCTGTCTCCTGTCCCTTTGGATGTATCTATGCAAGAGGAGGATTTGTGCCAAGCCTTCTCTGATGTGTTGCTCAACAATGTAAAAGACATTGATGCCGAGGACTGTGGGAATCCCCAGCTGTGTAGTGACTACGTAAAAGATATCTATCTATATCTGAGAGAGCTTGAGGTATGACATACTGAGTCTGTGTTTCTGCAGTATAGCATTAAATCTTGTTGCTCACACAGCTATTTCTCCAACAGGTGCAGCAATCGGTCCGCCCGCATTATCTGGATGGGAAGACAATCAATGGGCGCATGCGTGCACTTTTAGTTGACTGGCTTGTCCAGGTCCACTCAAGATTCCAGCTTTTGCAAGAAACGCTGTATATGTGTGTTGCAATTATAGATCGCTTTTTACAAGTAAGAAAGATGTTTTTTATGTCATGTTTAGATTAGGAGACTTGTTCAATGACTATGCTTTTAAAGGAGTTCAGGATTTATCCTTTCTTTATAAAGCTAAGAACCTACACAATCTGCTCTTTGTGTAAGAGCTCTGTATAATGTAGCATCTTCACTCTGAGGCTGTGGTCCTCCTTGAGCATGTCATTGTAGGGACACTTCTGACTCAAAGTGGAGAATCTCACTTATGTTCTGAGAATGAGCACTGTCATATTGGTATTTTAAACTGATAAATTAGAATCTGTTTATCTAGAGTTTGACTTTTTGGGGTCTGCTTCTTAAATTCTTATATTGCAGAGTCATCCAGTACCTCGTAACAGGCTTCAGCTGGTAGGTGTAACAGCACTGCTTATAGCTTCAAAATATGAAGAAATGTTCTCTCCTGATGTGGCAGACATCGTTTACATTACTGACAATGCCTATACCAGCGATGAAGTTAGAGAAATGGAGATTACAATTCTTAAAGAGCTAAACTTTGATTTGGGACGACCTCTTCCAATTCACTTCTTAAGAAGAGCATCAAAAGCTGCAGAGGTTGGTACTTGTCCTCGTTACCTGGAACTTTCCTATATGTGTTGTAAAAGACTTACCAGGATTGCTTCCAATATTGGTGTCATGTCATCTTGCTTTCCGATTATATGCTGGATCAAGAAATACTCAGTGTAAACTAAACATATTTAGAGCAGAACCCTTCTTTTTAGGGTAATCTTTTGTCTGGTGATCAGCGTATTCCCTGGTAAAAGCAGAGCAGTGCTGCAGTTCATAATTTTTGGGTGCAAATACCGTGTTATTTAAGAATCAAAAGATAAGCTTTCTCTTTGACCTGACCCTTTTTTCCCACTTCAGTAGTTACACTGGAGTGAACTGCTCACACCTGAAGTGGGCTTCAGTTACCTCAACAGATGACTAGGTAACTCAAAGTTAGCTGACTGGTTTAATAAGGATCTTCAGTAATCTTACACTGCCCCCCCCCCGCCACCCTTCGTGTATTACAGAGGGAGCACTTGTATCCCTGGTTGGGCACAGCAGTGCCTGATACTGCAGTTTTACGTTAAATCCCTCGCTTTGTCTAAATCCAAATGGCTGCTAGACTAGGCTGGTTTGGACTCTGGTCTTGATTTTGAGACAAGTGCCTGTTAAGAGAGTCTGGTCCCCAGACCTCAAAGATTTTGTTGACTACTTGTCAGTTAATGAATACAACAAACAATCCTGAGTTATTACAGTAAGGTGAATTGAAACTTTGCGGATTGATCTCGATCCAACAGGCTGATGCTAAGCAACATACACTAGCAAAATACCTAATGGAGCTGACGCTGATAGACTACGACATGGTTCACCATCATCCTTCAGAGATTGCAGCTGCTGCTTCATGCTTGTCCCAAAAGATTCTGGGACATGACAAATGGGTAAGTATTTTAATCAAGCTCTTTGTTCAGAGTTTTTTCCTTCAGTTGATTGAATTTAACCATTCGAACTACTACTTTAGAAAATTGTATTTAGGTGGGCAGTAGTGCTGGTGATCAAATGACAGTTGGACAGCCTGATGCATAGTTGCAGGTAGAAAAAAGAATAAACCACTAAAAACTTGCTTTGTTTTCTGTGTGAGCAATGTGGTATGAAAGGATTTTTCTCTCTAAAGTATTGAGTTACAGAACGCCACATTGTAAAGGAAGGTAGATTTTAGTAATTCTTGCAGTACATGTAGAATAACAAAACCATGGACCATGAATAGTGAATTGTAATTCAACTAGTGGTTACTCTTGGAACCGTTGCTTCTTTTATTATCTGTGTAGTAGAGAAATACGGTTTTTGGCATTGATGTGTCCAGACTTCTGCACACCAGAAGTTGCTTTAACTGACAGGACTACAGTTCCTAGCCAGTGCATTGAAGCTTAGGGCATTTACTGCCTGAAGTGACTGTGCCTTAAGCAGCAAACCCCACTTCTTAAATCTCAAATTTTTTACCGTTATGCTGCAGGGTATAAAGCATCAGTACTACACTGGGTATACAGAAGACAGTCTTTTGATGATTATGAAACATATGGCCAAGAATGTGGTTAAAGTAAATGAGAAGTTAACAAAATACACTGTAAGTATAAATCTTCCTTTTAGCATTTTAGAAATACCTTTGTTGTATATTGTGGCTCCTTAGGTAAATAGTCTGTTATCTTAAAGCATATGCTATTCTGACAAGCCTGGGAGAGGATGCTGCATGAGCACTAACTTCAAAACATTTTAGACAAACTGTTCCCTTGCTACTGAAGTGAAGCTGCTTCACTTCTAACATTGTTTGTTTGCTTGTTTTCCAAGCAGCCAGGCTAACCGACCTAAAATTATCTGCCTGAACTTAAATACTGTATGTGTACATCTTTTTTAACAGTGTTTCTCTACCTCTGCAGGCTATAAAGAACAAGTATGCAAGTAGTAAACTACTGACGATCAGCACCATCTCTCAGCTGAGCAGCGCGACCATCAAGAGCCTGGCTTCCTCGCTGTTGTAACCCTGGGCAGCCAATTCCTGATGGTACATGCACTTTGGCCACCTTTGCCCACTGAGGCAAAACTACTGCTCTTTCTTTGTACATAGCATTCTGGCCTTCCCACAGACATTTCGGACTCACTCAGAAGGGGAAATTTTAAATTTGCTTTGTAATACAAATAAAGCTCCTCTCTTTTTAAAAAAAAAAAAAAATAAAACACTGCGACTGAATTTTTAAGGCCCTGCTTAGATGTGCCTGCAACCTACTGTCCAAGCAAGACATTTACTGAATGTGATTGATACAACTTGCAGTTAAATGTGGATTAATCTCAGTAGTTGTTTCCAATGAGACTCTCCAGGCTTTATAGTGGGTGATATTTAGTAACTTCCTGTTTTCACTCTTAAGGTAAGAAAGAGCAGGCAGACAGTTCATCTTTTCTTGGTGTAACTTAAAGTATACTAAATTATGTACTTTATTTCAGTGCCTTGTCCCAAAGAAGTATACAGGAATTTCTTTTATTGTAGTTGTTGCATTCAAGTTTTCAGAAAAAAACAAAATCGTGTAAATCTTTGTGTTTAGGTGAACATCTGTTCTCTGTCGTTGTATACCTAAACAAAGGGAGCTAAGGTAGGAAAATTCTAAGCCTCCTGTGATGCTAACCACTGTGCACAGGGGCTGTAGGTGTGGAACTAGAGGGATGAGACCTTCTGAACCAGCTCGGCTCTTAAAACCTGCTCCACTTCTTGGACAGATAACGCCGTGGCTTTTCATTGCCTGTCTGCTCACGTACTCTGTCCCCCTCCCCCCCCAATAAACCTCTATACCTGGGAGAATATAGTCAAACCCAACATAAGTAGATTCTTCTTTGGCATTTAACATTTTGCTTTCCTTTAGAAACAAAGACAATAAATGTCAGTTTCTGTATGTTCAAGGAATACGGCGTAAGTACTGCAACTTCTCAAATGAGGCCTCAGTACCTCATTTCATACTGTTTATTAACTTAGTCCTATCTAAGTAATGTGAAGTTACAGCTTCTCAGGGATTCTGTAGTTATACTGAACTAACTCACTGCCTCCCTTCTCCCATCATCTCCTCTTTATGAGTGTGCTGACCCTGATACAGAAGGCAGAAACCCAATAGTACAAAAACTTCCTAGACTTCAGTGCTTGCCCTGTGGGAAGGGTGTTGAAGCTAGTAGTGGTTTTTATCTGCTCAAGCAGGAGACTTTCTTTCCCATAGAATAAAAAAGCCTAGCACTTACTGCAAGTGGTCTTTTGAAAAAACATGCTTGATCCCTTGTTTGTATGAGATTCCCCTGTGGACTGAGGCCCTAGTTTCTAGCTTCCAGAAGCAGCTTCTACAGTCAGTCATCTTAATGGAGATGGAGTTTAAGTCTGCTTACATTAGGCTCAGGTAATGGCTTAGGAGGGAAGGGGATTCAAAGCTACTAGCTTTATCTTAATTCTTATGCAGCTTCTAAATATCAACATACGCAGTTTTTTTAACTGCTCTTGACAAGAAAAAAACGTAATGCACAGCACTTAAGGTGAGCACAGTGAAAATGGTTTGGTCTGGAGCAAAGGAAGGGTTTTTCTTTCTTCAGAAATGTGTGCAGTAAAATCCAACATGTTATGAAGGGATCTGTTTGTATACATAACTGAAAACAAACTGCACGGAGAACAGACCTGTTCAGCTAACTGCTTCTTGTGTTTTATTTTATGGAGGTTCAGAAGGCAAAGCATGAATGCTGATAACTGTATGGCAAGCAACAGCCACTCTGGTGTGGGAGGCAATCAGACTGTAGCAATAACACTTTTTGCTTTTGCCACTTAAAAGGAGTAGTGCATATCTGTAAGTACCTGGCATAAAAATTTTAGTATAACTACTTCATGAGTAAGAACATTATACATTCATACATGTTTCTATCCTATTCAGATTTTATATACAGTATATGATCTGTTTCTATAAATGTACAGCTCTGCATAAAGACACTTCTTAGAACAGGTAGAGCATTAAACATAAATCCAACATGGGCCAGCCATATTATAATATAAATCTTGAAGAAGGCAACATTGTTTAGCATACAGTACTATGTGGTTTTCTGTTTTAACTTCTTGTTGGGGTCCTTAAAAACATCAGCAAACACAAACCAGTTCCTTTACAACTCTGTACAGAATTAGTTAAATATACCATCACAGTAGGTTTTTAGATGGTAATATCCCAGATGAGCCTAAATCTTTTTGACATGTAGCAGCATACTTTACATGTTCTCCAGAATGATCTGCATTAGAGGAAATGTGCATTTAACATCATCTTCAGTAGGTAATTGAAAAGGTTACTGATATTCAGCAGAAGGCACTTACTAAATACACCCCTTTCAAAGTCCCTGGTCCCAGACTGCAAGGCACCTTTCTGTTTCAAGAAGATGGTATGTTTGAGCATTCTTCAGTTACTAGGTGTTAAAACCAGGTTTTAAATAGAATAAATAATTGGTCAGTATGTCCGTTGGTGTATGCTTCTGAGACCGTGCTGGGGATCATTTTCTTCCTGCTCACAGACAACTTTACTGGTGAAAATACTGCTGAGAGTGGCAGATCTCGGAAGAACAGTGTCCTGAAGGCAAGGGAAAACACCTTCAACCACTGGTAACTTCATGCTATTTTTATCTTGATGGGCTTCTATATTTTGGTGACATAATTGTTGGGAAACAGACCTTGTTTCCCCCGTAGTCTTCCTGTCCACCAGCCAGAAGGATCTATCACAAAGAAAGCAAAGTAAGTAGTGAGGCTCTGTAAACCTTTTTGTATACTTTTTTGAGGCAGCCTTGCAAAGGTATTCCATACAGTGATAGCCTTCTTGTGAAGAACTGAGGAGAAATGATCTGGAGAACCTGAGTTTGGCCACATCACTAGAGCTTATGAGGTTGCTTTGAGAAACAGAGTTGGAAATGCTTTATCACTTTTTGGTTCTTGTGCTATAGCTGTGGTTTAGGCTAATCTTCAGCCAGCTCCTGCGACAGAATTACTCTTTTAACTATATTTACAGACCTGCAGTACTGACTAATGCAAACAGGATTGATCTGTCTCTGACATGTTTTTAGGTGTACAGGTTTGATTGGTGTGGGTCTGGAGACTTCTGCTCCCTGAGGTATCACAGACGTTTGCAAGCCTAACGAGGGAAGATAACTGTGGGCTGGCTCAAAAAGTCATGCCTTAACTACTTAGGACAGGGTACCTTCAAGATTAGTACTTAAGTAACAAAACCTTTGATCTCTACGTACCTTCTTTCATTATATCAATCACGTCGTTGGCATTAAAGCTAAGTTCATCTGTGTCCTGAGCATCATATGCATACAGCGCCCTGCACTGCGGTACCTGAGGCTTGGGTTTGGGCTGTGGTTTAGGCCTTCCTCCAGCTGGTGGGGGTCGGTTTGTCGTTTGCCTGCGAGCACTAATGGGAGAAAAACTGTTAAAGTGCTTCAAAGCTTATGACTTGAACCTAAGCTTTATCAACCCCTCTGTCCTAATGAATTGATTGTAAAGAATATCACAGAACAAGGGAAAAAGGATTCTCTTAAATGTCACAACAATTAAAAATAGCGATGTTAAGACTTCCCTGTGAAAGGGACAGAGTTGCCATTTCTTTCCTAGTGAAATGGATGATTAGGTTCAAATGCATAGAAGAAGACATTTTAGTGCTTAGGCTGGAATGTAAACAAATGTGCACATGCAGTTCATGCATATCTTGGCATCTACACAGCTTAGTCTGTCTCTCCCCGTGCCCCAACTTCACCAGGGATTTAGTTTCCAGTATTAAAAAAACAAAGTTCTAGCTCATAGGCTTGCTACATTACCATTTCTTGTGACTAAGCTGTAAGAGAGACTGCATCTCTTTTAAGTTGCCTCAGATTCCAGGGCCGTCTATGGACTTGTTCTGTTATAGTCAACTCTGAAGCAGCAGGGGAGATGCTGCACAAACTCTTTGTCACAGCTGTGACCACTCCAAAGATTAGGAAGGGGAAAGAGGGAAGAAATGCATTTTGCCAGCTCATCAGCTAATAAAGGCTGGAAGAGAGAACAGGTATTAGATGCATTATGTCAGTTTAAAATAAATAATACATAAATGTTCTGAAGACTAAAAATGTTGCAGTGATTTGGAGGAGAGTGAACTGTGATCATCTACTGTAATGCCATAACGTTACAGAGCTCTTGCAGAAAAGGTTTATAGCTCCTTCTACAAAGTCCTAGACTTAATTTTTGTCAATATGTCTTTCTAGTTCTGAGTTTGTGGAGTGAACTGCACCAGAAAATGAGCTTTGAAGGATGTGTTAACAGCATTTCAGTTCTAAATTTATCTACTGGGAGAGAGGATTTTCTCCTGCTCTTCAGCATGTTATTGACTTTGGGGTGGGATACGTTGTGAAACCTAGACATAGGTATGGAGATTAAAAGAACTCAGAGCAAGGCTTACAAGTAGCTCAGTTTTTCTGCAACCACAGTAAAACAAAACATCTCAAATGTTTTGCTGGTGAGAGCATGGTGTTTTTAAACTCAGGCTTGAATTGGATTGTTAGTGATGGCTAGAAATTGACTCTGTGATAGTACCAGTGCATTCTTCTTAGCAGCTTTGCTGAAAATAATGCTACTCCTAGCCCTTAAGAATTGTATCTATCATGGTTGTGACTTTGAAGTACTAATTTCACAACTCTTCTAGCTCACTCCTTGTGTACAAGGAATACTACAGCATTCCCTTTTGAAGAAAGATCAGTCACAGAGAAGTACTTACCTGAAACCCACATGGTAATATTATTTTTTAGTGCAGTAATAAAGGTCCTCACAATGCTCAGGAAGACAGCCTTGCAACTGTCACTTTTGTACAAGTACGTCCTTTGGTCTGTTACTGCTGTAACACTCCTCTAGGATGTTTGTTTTTCATAGTGGTGAATGTATCAGAGAAACTTAATGATAGTCGCGCTGGGAATGGTACTGAAGAGGAAGAACCCTCTGTGTCCCTTCTGAACT